GACAGAGAAAAAAATTTGCAGATTTAATTAACATTTTTCTGCCTTCAAATGTACATTTTCTCTGCCTTCTTCTGTTCCTTCAATAACTCTCCCTACAAGGCATCCCATTAAATCTTAATCATCAAGATTCTTCCAAGTTCCATAAAAATTAGGCCAATTACACCAGGGATATGGGGCCAGTTTCTGATGTCAAAGAGTTGCTATGGGATTAAGTTCCCTGATACCACTGAAGTTAAGTTAAGACTGCTTTAATAAAAGCAGTGTTTTACATGGGATATGAAAGTCTACTTCAGTGTGTACTAGAGTCCCAGCTCTGCAGTGGTTAAGAGAAGCATAGTTATTCCTCATTTGATTTGAAGATTTTATTTTCTTTTTAAGGAAAAAAAAAATTAGTCTATCCCAGATCATATATTCATATACATTTATAATTTATAGTCTGTTGACTGAGAGAAAAAGAACGAACATATTAAAATTTGATACCTGTCCTCCAAATGGAGGAAACGTTTCACAACAGAATTTGCATTGTTTAGCTCTGATCCTCTCCACATTTAGTTGTCATTGCTGTCTTAAATGCTGCTTCTATTTCTTCTTCAGGAATTGAGGAACAGCTTTTTGACAGCATTTTGATGAAATGCTCTAAGTACTGAACCATAACTCCACTTCCTGCACCCATTCTGAACTTACTTTAACTGCTCACAGATGACTTAACCCAAAATATTGAGGTTTACTGTTTGTTCCTATAAGATATGCTTGCCCTGCAGCGAATCCTCTGACAGTGTTACTTAAGGAAGTCAGTTGTGCAAATACTGGACATTGATACTTTCCTTCATGTTTGTTTTGTTTGGGGTTTTTTTGTTTGGTTTTGGGGGTTTTTTATTGGCAGAAAGCCAGTTGATTAGATAGTAAGAATATGGTATTCACAGAGTCAGACAAAAATAAAAGCTAAGCAGGGGATCTGATAACTTGATTCCCAAGCCACAGTTAAGGGAAAAAGCCCAGTTAATTTTCCTTTTTTGCAAATGTTATTTATCTTGCCTGTTGGCAGCTCAAACTTCATCTGAGAACGTCTGAGGACTGACATGAATGAAATTAAGTCGCATAATGATGTATCTCCACCTAACTGCTTGTCCTCTTTGCATAATCCCATTTTTATCATTTGCATTCAAAAGAATCTAAAGAATGTAAGGATAGTAAGGCAAAAGATACTGTACAAACAAACAAACAAAAAAAAAAACCCCAACACCAGAAAAATACATAACTTAAAACATATTACAAAAATGAAAAGCCTAGAAGTAATATATCTTACTCTGAGATATAAATAGCTCTGCTTCAAGTGTAGGATTAGTCCTCCACTTAAACTTTTACAGAGCCTCATGACATTCCACCATTGCTACAAACTGCTTGTGCCCAGGGATTTTCAGGACTAATCCTCTTGAACACAGATTTATCGCAGCTCTGCCCCATCTTCAGCCTATTGCATTCCCCTTCCTGCCATTACACCCTTGTATTCTGCATTTGAATGTCTTCATTTTTAAGCTTCTGGTGCATGTGCAAACCATCAGTTACTCTCTCCACTGAGAGTGTGCTGCCAGTAACAAGTTTGGGATTTTACTCTATAATAAAAGATTTTATTTTTTTTTCCATCGAGACAGCAATTACCATGATTGCATCTGGGTTTAATTTATCTCCTCAAACAAGTTCCATGGTTATCCAGAGCACAAATGCCATTAAAAATTTTACACAGCTGAGATCTATCATGAGGGAGGAAGAAATGCTTGAAAGGTAGATTTATGAACTACAGGTAATGAATGTCGCTGGATCCTGAAGCAATTACAAGCAGCTGTTTTCAAGGAAGCCTAAGATTCCTAATAAAGTTTAAGCACCTCGAGGTTTAGGAGGCATCACGCTGTTTTGGCAGGTTGGAGCCTCTCTCCCCTCTTCAGGGAGCAGCCTCCAGCCGGTACCCCCTGCCTTTTCCCACTCACAGGAGCAGCTCAGGCTCAGCTGGCTCTGGCAAATCCTCGGGCAGACATTGCTCATCACCCCTGCCCAGGGCACCGTATCACTTCCAAAGTTGCAGGTCTACAGTTGAAGCGGGATCCTTTCTTCTGCAGCTGAAAACCAGGAGCATCAAACTTCCTGCCAGCCACCCTCCGCTACCCGCCAGGCAACAGTCTCCAGTTGTCCTTCCTGTCTCATCTTATCCAGGAAAGCTTCAGCTAAAACCCTGTCCCTCCCCTCTTCCCTGGAAGCAACTGCTTGCTATGGCACCAGAGAGCTTCAGGAACCTTCAGCACTGCTGCTAAGGGGTTAAATTAGTCAGGAGGGGAAGAGCTGCTCACTGCCACCACCACCTTTGATTTTCCCTATTACTTTGGAGGCCCTACAGGGAATGCAAAACAGAGCTAAGAGAAGCAGAGGACATAGATTAAGTGTTTCTGGTTTACCTTTCCTTGTAGCACAGAGACAAGGAGTGATTTAGCAAGGATGAAGGATGAGAAATTACCAATGGACAGGCCAGGCAGATTAGTAGGACAAGGGGTAATGGCTTCAAACTGGAAGAGAGCAGATTTAGATTAGATATCAGGAAGAAATTTTTTCACTATGCGGGTGGTGAGACACTGGAACAGGTTGCCCAGAGAAACTGTGGATGCCCCATCCCTGGAGGGGTTCAAGGCCAGGCTGGATGGGGCTTGGAGCAACCTGGTCTGGTGGGAGGTGTCCCTGCCCAGGGCAGAGGGGCTGGAACTCTATGATCTTTGAGGTCCTTTCCAACCGAAACCATTCTATGATTCTATGGTCCTAGGATTTGGATCACTTACTGCTGACAGAAACCAGTACTAAGGGTTTACTATCTTTCTTCTGCACAATCCAAGTATTTACTTCCAGAGCCCACCTGCACTTACCGGTTCAGCATCTTAGTAACATATACATTCATTTTCATTCTTGGGTTATAGCAGTGATCTGACACACCACACACACAAAGAGTAAGAAAACACCACAGCTGTCAGGAAAAAAATAATTAAGTGGAATGTTTAAATCTCAGGTATACAACAATGGCATTGTTTACTACTGCACAAGTAATTTGTATTGAAGCTATCAAGAATAACAGATTGCTACTGCTTATGTAGGATATGTAAAAGTGCAGGAGTCAGCAGTGCAGGTACAGTGGCCATTAGGAAATAACTGGCCACGGTGACTCTGTGGCCCAGGAAACACTATGTCAACTTCTACTTCTGTACACACATTTAAATAATTCTGGTTGATACAGGTGAACTAAATTACCATAAAGGCTGATTTATGAATTGGGAACAAAACATTACCCTATGAAACCTTCATTAAAAATCATTTAACTGTGACTAATGTTAGTATATTTTTATGTATTATCTTAAGCATTATTAAGTAGGCGTCTGACAAATGATTACTGCATGTCTTCTCAATGCCTCTCAGTAAGGTATATTTGGTATACGGCTAAACTAATGAGGTCCTACCTCTGCTGATGCCCTCAACCTTTTCTATGACAAATGCGAAACTCATTAAGACACATACAATTCAATTTAATGTGACAAAAATCAGCCTGAGGAAAAGCATAAATACACCATTTCCATGGTACTTTACACAGCATTCTGGAGTAGCTTCGTGGACTGGTTCTCACAACAGCACTTGCTAGGTGGTCCTTATACACAGGTAGACAGATGGATTTTGTAGACTTAGAATAATTTGAAGCATGTCACGTAAGGAAGCATGTGGCTTTTTTTTTTCTTTTAATTCTGTCAGTTCTGTGACAGCAAGAATTATCACCCCAATACAGCATGTTAGTGTGCTTGACTTTCAACACATCAAAAGTAAAATCTCCAGATGTGTTCCTGTGACATTAATTAGCATGGAACTGGAACAACAGGACCAAATCCAGATCAAGAAAAGAGGTTATCTGCCTTTCTCAGGTAGGAATTATTTGAAAAGGGGAGGGAGAAACCCATAAAATTACAAGCTAAGTTTGCCCATTAACAACTTCAGAAATTTTATAAGCATTTAAGAACCCATCTATCAGAAAAAAAGGCAAACGCACACCATAACTCACTTTTGTGAGTTTGAAAGCACCACTATGAGTGTCTTTCTTAAAGACAGCTTTTAAAGGAGCTATAATTTGAACCCCTATCCTCGTGCAGTCACTTCACCTTCCTCCCAAGTGTCACAGGTTTATCAGCAGATGTTTGCTTAGATGCTCTGTGAATTCCAGTCTAACAAAAGGAGAGGAACTGCCTTGCAAAAAGGCATAGCTTAGGCTATGAAGAATACCTTCAGGGACTGAGTATCAACTCACCTGGCCTCCAGAAGGAGCAAGGATCTGGAAGATCCAGCTGGCATCCTAGCTACTCTCCATGTTCATTGAGTAACTACCATGCAATGTTATATTTCACAAGTGTTTGACTGCATCATGACATTTTTAAGAGGTGGTTTTCAATTATCATGGTTAATGATAAGCTGATTATGAAACCATAAAAATAATGAGTTAGATATTATTACCAATATTTCCACAGCATGGATGAAAACGCACATAGCCATCAGACAAAATTAAAACAGCAGTAGGTGACAACAAAATGAAAAAAGAAAGTAACCAGCAGTACTAGTTATAAATAAAACAATTTGCAAAACAATTTGAAGAAGTCTGAATTAAGAACATTAAAAATAACATGTCCAAGTAGAAATCTCACTAAATGTTCTTCAGAACACTGTACACTTTTGCTCATAAAGTTTTCAGTCAAAATCCTGCTCTACAATATTCAGCATATGGTTTGACACTTTACTGTAACCACTGTAATGTGCTATATAAATTATTTAATGGTGCTTTACAAGTTGTTTAAACCCTGTGTGTCAGGAATCCATGTGTATATCCATTCTGTATTTAAAGAAACAGAAAAACCACTACAGAAAATCTTGCCTTCTCAAACTAAAGTGTAGTTCCAAATCTCATTATTTTTTTCACCCTCCTCTTGCAGGATCACAACAACAGCTGCTTGCATGATGGATCTACGCAGATATCCTCTGGATGAACAAAATTGCACACTAGAAATTGAAAGTTGTAAGTTACTGGAGGGAGAGGGTTGGCCAAATGGCAGCTGGGGATTGAAAGCCATTCACAGGTTTGGTAAAACAGGAGCAAGTTGTTCAAAACTGTGTGTCCAGTGAGCCTGCACACAGAACATACCCAATATATTTCTATAATACATAACCCCAAAATGTGTTTAATTCACAATATTGGTTGATCAAAGCTTGTAAGATGTCTTTCAAAAACTCTTGTTGAGGAAGGGATAAGAGTATTTCTTGATGATTAGACCAGAGGACAGTAACTGTCCATCTTCAGCGCCTAATCACCACAGAACCTGAATTAATTACCTTACCCCGGTGAGTTCATCTCTCACATCAAGATTAACATTTGCCCCATGTGGTGGTGGGAGGATTGATCAATTATTCTTACCAAAACACTGGTAGGTAATAAAAGGAAACAAATTGATCCATCAGCACCAAGGTTAATGAAAGCTTTGCCATTGTCTTCCATGAGCACAAGATCAAGGCCTGCATTTGCAAATGTTTGTCATTAACATGTCTTTATACCTTTTACAATGCTAGTCTTTAGAGAAATGCCTATCAAGGTTTTTTAAAATAATTTTTATTCTGTTGTTGGTCAAACCAGCTGCAAGTTGGACCAGTTGGTCAAACTCACCACAAAGCAGTCAGTCTAAACAAACTGGTTAAAACTACATAGACTCCAAGGCAAAGTAATGAGGCAGTTTTACGAGAATTTCCATTTTTCACATTACAACCGTTGCACTGTTAGAGTTAAGTGGGTTTTTTTGGTCATAATATTTCTCTTTAAAGTATGAGGTTCTAGAAAGGATTAACGTACAGCTCAGTTTACTGCAGAGAAAGAACAACTTTAGGATTTAAACCTCCATTTTGATGGATAGTTTGAAGTGTTAAATAAACAGAGAAACAAGCTGATCCAGGATTAACCAAAATAATTTGCCAACACCTATGTCATCAACAAAAGTGATGTTTTCATTGTTTGTAGCACATCACATTCAAGGAACTAAAAGCTCTCAGAAGTCCATTCTGCAGAAGCTCATGATATAAGATTTTGCTGTGGACTGAAAAGAGGTTAAAATCCCCAAAACCTCACATCATCAGTTTTCAAAAGGATTCCATTAGTCTTCAGTTGCTTAGATTTGACAAATAAAAACTTTTCACAGTGTCAAAACAAGGGAATATTAATGTATAAATAGTTTAATAGTACTGTAACACAAATATAAAATAAATAAGTCTAAACCAAAGAAGACGAAATCACTTTAAATCTTAAAAAATGTTGCTGGGAAATAGTTAATTCTGGACTGAGGAGGTTTTTGTCAGTTGTATATATGTAAGTGTAAGATATCTCAATATATCTGTGAGGTGGCGATTGTTAGGCACCGAAAAAAAGCATTCAGTCAGTCTAGAGCACTGCTGAGAGACAAGATGGGCTCTCAGCCCAATGTTTATACTAGTTTATAATTTCTACTTGATGGCACCAGAAAATTGCCTTATTTAAAGCGCTGAAATGGACACATACCTTCAAAATTACTCTCCATAACGAAGTATTTTGTTTCTTTGTAAGTGCGTAATCAGTATCAGCCTTAATATAAGTCGGTGGAGGTGCAGCTTTTCATTTAGATTTTAAATTGTTTGGTAAGAACCTTGAAATGTTTCCCCCAGAATTATTTGCTTTTGCTTCTTTTCATGGAATGTCATTTTATAGTGATTTTTAGAAATTCTCTGCCAGGTTGAGAACAACAAACCTTTTCTTTCACCAGCAAAAGATTTCAGTCATGTAAACACTCACAGTAGGCTTCATGAAAATTATTTTTACTACAGAGCGTTGTCTGCACAGAACCTGCTCATTTATTCCTTCAGAGATTCAAAAACGGTGTTTATTACTTTTAAGATCCTCATGTTTTGGCACCATAGGTAGACATCTGGGAAGGAGAAGCAGGGAGGAAGGGTTGTTGCTAAGGTTCCCTGTGCAACACCTCAGCAGCTGCTGCCCCAAGTCACCAGAAGAGCTTATTCTCTGTCCACCGTTGGACACGTGCAAGTCTCTGGAAGGACACAGTGGTTGTGCACTGTAGAAAACACCCCGCAGCAGAGGCAGTAGCGTGGCAAGCTGGGCCAGGTCGATGTGCACAGCATGAATCCTTGTGCTAGACCAACATGCATCAACTTTCCCCGTATGTCTGCTTTCTGTTAGCCCCGTCCATACCTGCATTGCTCTAAGTTCACCCCACACCCCTGTGTAGGAACACGTATACAGCCATTTCCTTCTCATCGCCGAGAAGCAGAGGCAGCAGGCAATTGTAACCTCCCTCTCCAGTGCTGCCCATCACCCTGCTGGTCTCCCCAGTTACCTTCTGCTGGTGCAAACTCTGGCCAAATCTCATTATCCACCTACAGAGCCACTCATTAAGCTGCACAGTTGTCACGCTCATCCTTGGGCTTTGCAGTTCTCTGCCCTTTTTGGCACAAAGCAGTTTTCTGCTGCTTTGCTCACCTTCTATCTTAAGCTTAACCAGGCACGGGACGGGTCCATTTGGAGAACAACTCATTTCTTAATTTTCAAAAATTTTCAAAATTCAGTAACTTTTCTATCCGATCAGCAGAGGAAATGGATGTATATATTCAGTACCACAGCAATCAAAATGGACAACTTCATACTGAAGTTGCTTTCATACTGAATTCATACCAGAATTCATTTGCTGGGAGATAGTTGCTTTGAAGTCTCCAGCCCAATTGTGACTCAAGAGGATCAAACTACAGGAGCATTTGTCAGCCCAGATAACAAAACCAGGCTGACACCTGACTGGCTCATAACTCGTTATTCCCAAGCTTTCACATAAACAAAGCTTCGTAGGGATGAATGCTCGGTGAGAATGGACTGAGATACTACCACTGAGACCTCATCAAGAATCAAAATGAGCATCAGATGGAATAAGCAATTAAAATGCTAACACAATCGGGGATGAGAGAATACCGTATCACTCATGTGGCCAGTCACATATCCCCAAAAGAAAATTGCTTTTCAGACCTTTTGAACACTTGCTATAAATAATTCATGTCTCCAAATATACGTATGTTGACACGCTAATACTCGGTGAGCTGATCCACAGAAATTAACAAAATCTTTATTCACAATTTGCAAACAGGCCAAAATTGGCGGAGTGCATCACTTCTCGTGAGTATTTAGACCAGTTCTCCTAACAACTGCGTGACCTCCCCAAAGCACAAACACGACCACCAGCTACTGAAAGCCCACAGGTAGTAGATGTCAGGAGCAGTGGTCAGCTACTGAAAGCCCACAGGTAGTAGATGTGTCAGGAGCACTGGCGTCTTTGACAATTCTCCACCTAAAATATACCTTCTAATGCACCATAGCTTTTCTCCTCTGCAAGTCTAAACCCCTTGAAAGTTATTGTCCTTGTACTTGGCAGAAGCACAGGGTTCTGAAGAGCTGCCTACTTCTCTCTTAGGTATTTGAGTACAAGTGAGCCAGTTGTCCTGAGTACTCAGCACTTAGCAGTGCCTGTTAATCCCCTTGAAAGCTACCAGGGGACAGAGTGGAGAGGGTGAATAAAGAGGCAATAACCATGACCACCACCTCTCTGTTAGTGCCACATGCATTAGGCGTATGACATTTTCTTCCATGCTGGAACCAGTTTATGAGATTCCCACCCTCAACCTCTCCTTCCAGCTCCTGCATCACCCTTCAGCTTTCTGTTGTGCCAGGATACAAACCCTCACAGAGCTAGGATGGCAATCAATTTGTTAATATTTTCTTAGTTAAAAAATATCCCTTTGAAAGAAAGGCTTATCCACCTCAGTTTTGGAAGAGGCAGGAACTAAATAACCCCCAGGGCATTACTGTTCCTTAAATAAAGGGAGCAAGGAAGATGGTGCTGTAAGCACTAAGCAGTCCTGGAACTGCCCACGTAACAGCAAGCAGCATCTCTCACCGATAGACAGATGCTGTGCCCTGTGTGCACTGCCAGACCATTTTCAAAGCACTGGACAGTGATTTTGTTCATTTTTATATTGTATAACCCACAGGATACCAGCTTCCAGAACAGTACAGTTCATGGAAACCAGCACTGAATGATAATCGCTGCTTTGAGGAAATGTGCTCTAAGTTGCCATTGCCACTGAATTTCTTCTTCTGCTACCTACAGCCTTGATGGCTTCAGCAGGAATGTAACAACAGTAACATTGACCTTTTTTTCATCCTAACTTTGTTTCTTAACAGCATTTTTATCCTGCCAGTAATCCTGCAAGCCTGATGCATGCAGAAAGAAAACAATAAACTAAATTGAACACATATAGACAGAAAAAAGACCTGTATGGATGTGTAAATCATTGCAACACTAATAGCCCTAAATCTAGTAGCTCTCAGCAGCAGGTAATCTGACATAGGAGTAACATGTCTGATTTTCAGCTGGTGAAAACTGGCATGGCTCCACTTTGTCAATTAAACCACTGCAACTCATGCTGAGAATTTTCCCTGTCTGCTTTTTTATTAGTTGTTTCAAATGTTTGTTCCAAGTGAATGGCCCTTTCCTCAGTCCCACCCTTTAAATTAGATCTGATCCGCAGAAACACTGTAAATTAACTCAGAAATGAAGATAAATGTTTATGAGGAGAGTTTAACACCTGTAGAAAATGCACAAGACAATTGGGAATTTAGACCAAAAGACACAGGCTGGATATTAAACCCAAGACAAAGGTCTGTATGGGCATGCAAAATATCTATTATTAACCTGGTCTCCACTCTCCTGCAGATGTAAATGCATGGCTCACACCTGCAGGTGCAATCGCAGGCAGTTTGTGCAATAGAGACAGCAAGCAAAAGCCTAACAGATAAACCGATGCTGAGAGACTAGACCACGGCCAAGATGGACCACACGTTCCTCACACCATCATTAAATACCCCTAAATAACCCCTGAACTTCCTGAGCAAATCAGGATTGTTACCTGTTCTAATTCCATGTACAAGGACACTAG